CAGTTCTTCAATAAATTTTTTAAAAGAAGAAACTTCTGTCTTTCTCTCCTAAACTACACAAGATCATTTATCTACATCAAGCTCTTGGGAAAGGTATAAGATAGATGCTTTGTTTTTGGTGTAGTAACTCATGTGTATGGTGTGCATGCATATATGTGTGTGTGTGTGTGTGTGTATGTGTGTGAGCACAAATATGTGTGGGTATGTGCACGTTTCCACATGCGCATATAGAAACCCTGAGTTGATATTGGGACTCTCTCCCAACTGCTCTTCTCTGTCTTATTCATTGGGGCACAGTCTCTCAGTCAAACTCAGAACTCACCATAGGGCTAGTCTGACTAGCCAGCTTGCTCTGGGGATTTCCTGCCCCATTTTTCTCAGGGGTTATCATACAAACCCAGCATGTACATAGGTCCTTGAGATCTGAACTCCTGTCCCCATGTCTGCACAGCAAGCGCTTTAGCTACTTAACCATCTCTCCAGTCCCAGAGTTTTCAAAGCATTATATGAATAAAAAGTGGGGATTTTTAAGAACAGGGCCTTAGAAAAGTTGAGCCTCTCTTTGTACCTCATATAGACATGGTCTAAGTAGGAAAGGCCTTGGCCACAGCTGAACTCAGATGTTCAGATGTATTCCCACAAGAGACAGTAAAATCAGATCTATAAACTCTGATTTCAGAGGCAAGATGGGCCCCTGAAGTCAGTCTCTCAACACCAAACTGTGTGAGCTGACTACACACTCTAGGCTCATCCCAGATTGTTTTTAGAACCTTGGCAAAGGCAGAACAGACAGGAGCCTTGTACTAGTAGGATAGCCCAGAAGGTATACAGGAGTTTTCTGGAATGTCTGGTTCATGTGCCATCCTCCTGTCTGCCCCCCGCACCTTGAGTTCCTTCTAAAGCAGATGCTGAGATGGGACCCTGAATGCAATCAGGTAACACGATGAGCAAAGGATCTTAGCATGCTTCCCATTGCCAGAAGCAAAGCAGAGACTGGAAATGTTTTGCTGTTGCTGCTGTTCTTGTTGTCACTTGTCTGCTTGTTTGTTTTGAGACAGGACTTCATGTAGCCCAGGCTGGTCTCACACTTACTCTGTACCCAGTTCTGGCCTTGAGCTCCTGATTCTCCTGCCTCTGCCTCTGCCTCCTGAGTGCCAGTTTTATAGAAGTATGCCACCATGCTTAGTGAATATTTTTAAACAATGCATATTTAGCTCACGGTTCTGGAGGCTGGAGGTCCTAGAATGGATGATGACAGATGCTCAGCTTCAAATGAGAAGCTCGTGCTACTCTTTTCATGGTGCCTTTGAGAAAGAAAAGAGGGACCCTTCCCACAAAAGTTTATTCATTTGTACATGAAAAGTATTAAGAAATTATTGAAAAGTCTGCCCCCACAACCCAAAACACCATCCACAAGACCTGTGTGTCAATAAAACTACACTGGCAACTGAGTTTCAATGTGAGTTTTGGAAAGGAAAGCCATCCAAACAATAGTCACAACCAAGGTCTGATGATGCCAAAGGTATCTGGAGACGGTGTGGAACACACATTGGGTTGCCAGTCCTGGGGGCCAGTGACCTTGCCTATGTAACAAAACATGAACTCTATAGCATTCCTGGCCCACTCCCACAAGGTTCATGATCAAAGAAATTTTAATACGTTGTTGCAGGTTCTGCAATGGTGGGGGCTGAGGGGATCTGTCCCAAACAAACACCTGTTCCGCTTTCTGGTATCTTTTCCATTCCTTGATGATCTCCGACAGGTAGAGCCCACAGCTCTGAACATACAGATGAGAAGACTGAAGCTTAGTGTAGTACATGGCCCATACCATAGACTGAGAGGGGGCACAGTTGTGTCTGTCTGCTTACTCCTTTTTACCACCCCTAGAGCAACTCAAGAACATGGTAAGACCTGGGTGAATGTCTGAAGCAAGAAGGAAAGTCATACATGGTGTACTACCTGGTCAAGATTTGCACTAGAACCTTCTGCTTCAGTGTTCATATTCTTTCAGCAACACTGACCATAATGCACTACTGCCTATAGCCAGTGTGTCACATAGCTTAGATAGGTGACTAAGTTCATTCAGCTGCTGAATGAATTCATGAATGAATGGATAACTCTACTGTGTATACTTATGCTTCATCTTTCTCTCTCTTACTTAGAAAGCATTACAGAAAGATACCAGAACCAAGGAAGAGAGAATCCTTGGCCCACACAGTCCTGGAAAAATGATTTTCTCCAAAAGTTCACAGAGTTGCTACTTCTACAAAAATCTTACCCCAGACGCTTGAATAGCTGGATTCAAGATGTAAAAGAAGAAAGAGGACGCCTGATTAGGATGCAAGACTTACTTGGCCCAAGCCCAGGTAGCCAAAAAGAACCTCAAGTAGTGATAGTGGAGGGGGCTGCTGGAATTGGGAAGTCAACACTGGCCAGGCAGGCGAGGAGAGCCTGGGAGGAAGGCCAGCTCTACAGGGATCGCTTCCAGCACGTCTTCTACTTCAGCTGCAGAGAACTGGCCCAGTGCAAGATGCTGAGTCTGGCTGAGCTCATCGCAAAAGATCAGCCTGCCCCTGTGGTTCCCATGGGGCAGCTCCTGTCTCAGTCCAAGCAGCTGTTCTTCATCCTGGATGGTGTGGACGAGCCAGCATGGGTCTTGAAAGAGCAGAATCCTGAACTCTGTCTGCACTGGAGCCAGCCACAGCCGGTGCACACACTGCTAGGCAGTTTGCTGGGGAAATCTGTCCTTCTTGAGGCTTTCTTGCTGCTCACAACTCAGACTGCAGTTCTAAAGAAGCTCATTCCTTCTTTTGGGAAGTCTTGTTGGGTAGAAGTCCTGGGATTCTCTGAGTCTGGTCGGAAGGAATATTTCCATAATTTTTTCACAGATAAAAGCCAAGCAATTAAAGCCTTTGGCTTGGTTGAATCAAACCCAGCACTCTCGACTCTGTGCCTCATGCCCTGGGTGTCCTGGCTGGTCTGCACTTGCCTGGCACTGCAGATGGAGCAGGGTGGAGACCTCTTCATGACCTCACAGACCACCACAGCCCTCTGCCTGCACTTCCTTTCCCAGGGTCTCTCAGCTCAGCCCCTGGTTACACAGCTCAGGGAGCTCTGTTCTCTGGCTGCCCAGGGGATCTGTCAAAGACAGTCCCTGTTCAGTGCAGAAGATCTTGAGCAACAGGGGCTAGATAAAGCTACCATCACCGCTTTCTTGAAGATGGGTATCCTTCAAAAGCAGCCCAGCTCTCAGAGCTACAGCTTTGTTCTGTGTTTCCAGGAGTTCTTTACAGCAATGTTCTATGTCTTGACGTATGAGCACAGAAAGAATACTCTTGAAATCTTCAGAGTTGTAAGAAATGTGCTAATGCTATATAGAACATGTGGCATATTTGAGGCACCAACAATGCGCTTCCTATTTGGTCTTTTGAGTCAACACGGTCAAAGAGAGATGGAAAAGATCTTTACCAGCTTGCCGGATCTAGAGAAGAACCAGAACCTGATATGGAAAGTCCTATCAACCAAGCAGCTGTATTCTCTGGGGTTGCTCCACTGTCTGTTTGAGATTCAGGATGAGAAGTTCCTGAAACAGGTGGCACTTGATTTCCAAGGAAGGTGTGTGTGTGTCATGCAGGATATTCAGCACCCGGTCTTCCAGAAAAATCTCAAGAACCTTGTGGTTCGGACAGACGTGGAGCTCCTGGTAGCTGCTTTCTGCATTAAGTTCTGCAGCGATGTGAAGAGGCTTCAGCTAAATGGGGGTGGACAGAAGAGACAAGTGCTAAAGACCCCCAGAATGGTTCTGTGAGTATCTAGAACACTCCCCTCCTCTCCAGCTTCTCTGTGGATCCCCTGAGCTCATCTATCCTGAACATCACAAGCACTCTCAGTTGGCTCCAGGGGCTTCAGAACACGGGTTACCACTGACTAGCACTGAATCTGACCACCTTTCTGTATCTACTGCTATGTGCTGATGCTGCATGGATGGAGCCTCCAATGCTGTCTCTCTGTCTGCCTCTACAAGGCCCACTCGCATTCTCTGTAGGACAGGCTCCCACCTTCACAAAGACCTTCGAATTGCCCTCACTCTCCACAAGAGTGAGACACTGCTTCTCCTCCCACATGTGCTCCTAGCTTCTGACATGCTTTCTCCCTGAGAAATTCCTCATTTCAGTTCCTACCAGCACCATATTCTCATCCCTAAGACAATGGTGGTGGCCCTGAAGTCATCTTCCAGTAACCTCAGAATTCTTATGTATAAGCAAGAGTCGCTAGTTTCCCCTTAAAAGCCGACTTCATTGTTGCCTCCCTGGTGCCACTATGGCCCTAAGCCCTCTGCCTGAAGCATTTTCTCTTAACAGAAAAATCAGCTTTTCCTAACCACCAAATCCCAGCAGTGTGGTGGATGCTCCTTCCTGTCTCTCCTGCTTCTGTGGCAGTGCTGGTCACTTAGCATCAGTATGTGTCTCTCTCCCCTCTAGATGATTCATGCCGTAAATATTCATTCAGTACTGAGTCTATGCCAGACCCTGACAATCAGAAGAGGGAAAATAGAATTTCTTCCCCAAGGAGTTCAAAAAGAGGGAGAGAAAAACAGTCATCTGATGCTCAACAATTACAAAAGGGCCTGACACGTGCCATTGTCAGGCACATACAAAGTACCAGGGAAGGGACTGTTCACACAAGAGGACTAGAAGAGGAGAGAGTCTCAGAGGAAGAAATGTTGAGCCTTCTATTTTCACACGTTCAATCATGTGAACATCAATCATGTTTCCATTTTATAATCCACTTCTAGATGAGCACGATGATAGCATAAGCTTGCAATCCTTTCACTTGGGAGAGGACACAAAGGAAGATTACTTGACTTCAGGCACTAGAGATCAATCTAGGCGACATAACAAAAGCTCATCTGAAATTAGCGACTTGAAATTAGGCAGGAGCCTAGTAAAGAAGAGGAAGGGGGAGACAAGGAGACGAAGAGGAAATGGGCCAAATGACCATAAATGTGATCAAAGTGTGTTATACATGTTTGTGGAGAAATCTCAATGAGCCTTATTCTATATGAGTAATGTACACTAATTTGAAAACATGACTATCGTAAAAGAGTGAGGATATATTGTTTAGAGAAGATAAAAATTAATATCACTGAAATTCCGTTACTCAGAGAGGGCCATCATTAAGAATGAACACAACTACAATCCCAAGCTCAGGAAGCTGAGGCAGGAAGACTGGATGTTCTAGAATAGCCAGGGTACATACATACTGTGACTCAGTCTCAAAAAGACAATGCCTGGGTGTGTAACTCAATTACGGAGTGCCTACCTAGCAGGCTCAAGACCTGGGATTCAATCCCCAGCATGAAGAAAAGAATTGAGATATATCATTAATCTTTTTTCTGTACTCTTTTCCATGGGAAGAGTAATATAGTCACCACCCTTCTGCCTTGTCCCTTAAGGACAATAACATTCTGCTCAGTAAGAGTTAACAGGTTCCTGACACTTGGCTCACTAAGAGTTAACAGACTTCTTCAGGCTTTGTTGATGGAGAGACTTGAGGAGGGGAAGGTCTGCTCCCAGGATGCTGGGAACAGACCAATTAGACAGCTGTTTTCCTGGAATGCTGGGAAACGGGTTGTCATACCCTCCCATCTTCCCATACATCATAGGAGGTCTGTTACTAGGCCAGACACCATGGCCTTGGGCACACTGTGCTGTTTTCTCACTATTATGTTGGGAAAATTCTTATGTGTTTCACACTGCTCGAGCACTTACCATATGTAAACTCTGGGTGAACTTCAAATGCTGAGCTTTCAGTGCTCTCAGGAGGGAGGTAAAAGCACTGGAGCTGACACAGCCAAGGGTCTCCTGATCTGATGACAGTTTTTCAGGAACAGATGCTGCAGCAGGCATCTAAACCATGATATATACATCTGCTCGTAGTCCCCTTTATTTACTTACTAAATCAAGGCTGTCTTCTTGGGTTACCGTTACTGACACGGCTAGTACAATATCATTTTGAATAGCCTTACGATATTCTGCAGGGAGAGCACCATGACTGACTGGAACAGTTTCCTGTTTCTGGTCATTTTAGGTTGTTTCTATGTGTTCATGGTTATAAACGAGTCAGTCTTAAAGGACCTTGATATAGTTGTTGCAAGGAACAGTGGCCTGACGTGGGGCATTCAGAAAAGTCCTGAGCAGACAAAGAGGCAGAGGATATATAAGGCAAGAAGAACCAGGGACACCAGGCCAGACACAGACTGCTTGGAAGGGACAATGGTCTTAGGAGATTCCTTGCAAAAGTGAGAGGACTCTGATTAGTGAGGAGAAAGACCTAAGGTGGAAAATCAGCCAGGCAAGGCAGGGAGAGCAGCAAGGAGGCCACTGCACACCAGCAAGAGCTCAGTGGTGGAGACTCCAAAGCCAAGGGAAGGGAAGGACCAGCCTAGGATATTAAAGCAATGAAGTTAGCAGGATAAGATGGTTTGATATATGTGACTTGTAATTACACCTCATAGGTTTTTGAAATTCTATTTATTGATTTTTGTACATTTCATACATTATATCTTAATCATATTTAGACCCTCCCTTCTTTATTAACACCCCTCCCATAGCCACCGCACCAGATTTCGTGTATTCTGTTATATATGTTAAGGCTTATATAGTCAAGTTTGTGTCCTCAAATGAACCTTGGTGTGAGTTCATTTACCTGGAGCCTGGTCAACCTATCTAGCATAACTCCCTTAAAGAAGACAAACTCTCCCTCACCAAGCAATGATCAGTTGTCAATAGTCCCTCGGTGAAGGTTGGAACTTCTTACCCATTTCCATACTTCCATGCTTGGTCTGTTTAAGTTTGCATGGGTCTTGTGCACGCTGTCACCATTGCTGTAAAGTTCATATGAGTAACTCCCCAGCTGCCTGGAAAACTGTTTCCTTGTGGTCATCCACCACCCTGGCACTTCAGCCTTTCTGCCCTCTCTTCCACAATGGTCCCTGAGCCCTGGGTGGCAGAAGTTTAATGGAGGAGTCCTAGTCTACACACATTCTGCAATCTCTTATTCTCTACATTTTGGCTTTCTAAGTTAATTGCCATCTGTTACATGATGAATCTTCACTCATGAAAACTGAAAGATGCATTAGTATTCTATCTTCTCCCTGTTCTTCTATGTTCCTTGAGCCTTAGGTATAGAATTTACATTGTAGATGTGTCACTTAGGTTGGACATCACACAGACACTTATTCTCTGTATTTGACCAGTTTTGAAACACTGTAAGAATCTCCATCTCTTCCAAAAATAAGCTTCTTTGTTGAGTGATAAGAGGTCTATTTGTCTATAAATATAAGGATACATATTTAGGATACAGTAAGAAATTACTTTTTTCTAGGGATGTGACAGGCATAGGTTTTACTCTAGAATCTATAATGTCTCCAGTCATGTGTATTGGGCTATGTCTACAATATCACACATGAATTCCCTCCCTTTGAGTTGGCCTTAGGTCCAATTACACGTCTGTTGATTATTCCCAAGACATACGTTCCAATACTGTACCAATAGTCACAGTTAGCTGTCTGGGCATTGCTGTGGCTATTAGGCTTTAAAGCTGGGGTTGGACCATTGATTGATTTTCTCCCTTAGCACCTTGCATAGTATCCTCAGAGATACTATGAGAGCTAGCCTTCAGGGAGGAGACTTCCAGATCAGTTCCAGCTCCATTACTCCAACTCCTGTGTCCAAAGTATGTCCTGTCTTCAGCAACAGGGTCTTACCTTCAAATTCTGGGAGGCAATCAAGGGCTATGGAAATTTCCTGTGTCATCCTGAGAGTCTCTTGAACTACTCTAACAAACTATTCAAATGGAGGTTTCTTTTGTCTGGCACTGTGTTTCTGGTTATATAACCTTCAGCTATACATATGCACACATAAACACACACACACACACACACACACACATATATATATATATATAATTTTTCAATATGCTTTTGAACTAATACATTTCTCCCTGATTTTTCATTCCACCTAAGCATTACTTATCTCACAACTCTCTTCTGCTGTATAATCCTTCATCCCCCCCAGTAGAAGTACCCCTACTTTCCCCCTTAATAGCACCTGTATCCTACTCTCCCCGTCTCTCAAGCTTCTTCTTCCCCTTTACCACATGGTCCCTTTCCATTTTCTTGACTCCTGCAGTTACATCAGGATATATAATCACTTCTAAGCTTTTGGAGCTAAGATCCACAAATAAGAGAGAACATGCATATGATTCATAAGTTTGGTCTTTTTATGGTGTCACAGAATTCCTGCATATTCCATCCTTGTGCTTTCTTAAATTTTTCATAATCTTTGCTTGAGTGGTCTAGTTTGTCCACTTTATCTTCCAGTCTTGATACTCTGTTTTCCATTTCATTCATCCTATTGGTGAGGCTTTCTCCTGTTGTTTCTAATTGGCTTACTGAGTGTTTCACTTCCTTTTTCATTTCGGCCTGAGTATTCTTCAATATTTCTAATTCTTATGAATGCATTCAGAAGTTTATTCCTATCTTCTTTCAGTTCTTTCATTTCTTTGTGTGTCTGTAAGTTCACAGAATTCTTTAAACATGTGTATAATTCTTCTTTTGAATTCCATGATCTGTGTTATATCCAGGGAATTCTCAATGTACTCCTCTACAGGATCACTGGTAGTTGGTAGGGGTATATCATTGGGTTTTTCATGTAATGTTTCTGCTGTGATTTTGACATGTGGATTTCTTTTGTAGTTTCTAATTCTTTTGTGAGACTCAGCGCTTCAAGTTTAGGTCTGCTTCTTTTTTGTGAACTTTATGTGTCTTTGTGGTTTACTTTTTGGGCATGAGAAGCTGGTTCCTCTAAGCTTCTGGTTCTCTCTTTTGATTTTATATTGGAGTGGCCAGATTGCTTTTGTCTTCAGGAGTTCCCACAGAGGCCCAA